CACTTCCCGAGGCCGAAGCAGAGTTGCAAAAATTATCGGAGACCGCTTCCGAAGAGCAGTTGAACGATTGGGATTCACAAGAAGACGACGCACAGGCTCGCCGAATTTTGGATCCGTTGGCCATGGATATATATGAAGCCAAAGCCCCGAAATGTTTGTCACCTTTCGTAAACCCCAGGGTTAGGGTTAACTAATGGTAATTGCAGTGCCAACACAGAAGGAAGTACAGGCTGAGTTCATGGCACAAGAACAAGGTCTCCGGCAAAATGTGGGACTCTCGCTTTGGGTTGGTACGGGGATCAAACTTCAAGAAACCCAGTACGTTACTGGTTATAATAACTAACATGGTCTGCTAACCCTACCATAAGGCTTACCCTCAGCCGATTCGCCAGGCTTATGGGCAGGAAGCCGACGTCGGAGCAGAAACTCGAGCTCGCACGTCGTCGGCAAAGATTTATAAAAGGGCTGGACATATTCGAGCAAGAGGCGGTAATGTTGTATCCGGAGATAAATCTTTCCGATGGTTTTTTCGTCCCACCGACGATGGACGAGTATGAGCATGACGAGGACTTCGAGCAATTAAAGGTCAACCCACCTCAGAATGATAATAGCCTCCCCGAATATAGAGAGATCATCGTACCTTCCGACTGGTGGCTACCACTTTTATGATTAATCTATGACAACTGTCCAAGAGGCAATGTGTATACTGCCACAGGTTTTATGAAAGGCATCTCATTAGGATTGCCCATCTATTTCATTCAATTTCTCACTGGAATCTTTCATAAGATATAGGCAAGAATAATGAGATATCATGAGGATATTTCATTAAGCTCTTTGGCCCTTTCATTGCCATTTCATAGACTTTTCATTAGGATATTTCATTAGGCTCCTTCGCTTTTTCATTGCCATTTCTTAGAATTTTCATTAGGATATTTCAGTAGGCTCCTTCGCTTTTTCATTACCATTTCTTAGAATTTTCATTAGGATATTTCATTAGGCTCCTTCGCTTTTTCATTACTATTTCTCATAAGGATATTTCATTAGGTATTTGGCCATTTCATTACCATTTCTTAAACTTTTCATTAGGATATTTCATTAGGCTCCTTCGCTTTTTCATTGCCATTTCATAGAATTTTCATTAGGATATTTCAATAGGCTCCTTCGCTTTTTCATTACCATTTCTTAGAATTTTCATTAGGATATTTCATTAGGCTCCTTTGCTTTTTCATTACTATTTCTCATAAGGATATTTCATTAGGTATTTGGCCCTTTCATTACCATTTCTTAAACTTTTCATTAGGATATTCATTAGGCTCCTTGC